TTCTGATATTATTAGTTATTGGGAAGGGAGAGAAGGCCAAAATGGGTAACTCCCTCTTGTGAGAAATGAGGCAGTGATCCTCTGATAGTGATGGGTCAACCCAAGGGTATCAGAGTCTGGAGACTGCAGTCTGGCAGTGACAAATTGGATTTCAGGGTCCGCACCATGTGTGTTTTTCCAAAAGAATGTTTGAGGAGCAGAAGCTTAAATGCTCACTAGAGCTAATGAGAGCTACATATACCATGTAAATGTTTTTCATGTTATAGCTATGCAGGCTGAGGCTCATGCCTGGCAAAGGGAGTGAGGAGAGTTTCTTAGTTTTCTCAGACAGTCCTTCATCAGGCAAAGACCAAAGAAGGGTCTTTCTGGTAGCATTAAAGGTAGGTATTAATTTAAGGTAGGTATAATTTAAGGTCTAGGTATTTCTGGTAGCATTAATTTAAGAACCTGCTTTATGCCTCTTGCTGCTTTTGTTTTTGAAGCCTGTTCCTCTTCCCTTGTACTTTCAGTGGTTCTCATATATTTTCTACCTACATTTGCCAGATAATTATCTGCTGTTTGAGCAGTCATGTATGGGAAAGAAGCTTATTATCAATTGCCTCAGCCTGCTGAGTCATTGCTTAGTCAATATGTTACGGGGCTGCTTTTAAATGGAGAGTTATCAATAAGATAACACTGATATTGCAAACGCTTATGCACATCTGTTCAGATATACAGCTCCAGTCACTTGTGCAGGACCGCTGTATTCCCAATCATGCAGAACTGCCAGAGAACTCATTCTAGGGAATAATATTTCAAATAGGCCAGGATCAGCCCTTATGTATGAGGAATCCTAAAAGAGTGGTACAAAAGAGCCAGACATTAAGCAGTACTTCCTTCTGTGTTCTCTGCTTAGCGTATGTTGTGTAGTGGGCACATGCCTGTGTCCCATTAGTGCTTACATGCATGGGGAGGAGGGCTTTCTAAGGCATTGAACTCTGCATATGTAGTCAATAAACTGCCCTGCAATTGCCTCCTGTGGTGATCAAGTTCCCATTTGTGGAAGAGCTTTCTCAAAACTGTCTTGAGCCTGAAGGAATGGATTGCCTGGGAACTATGAGCTCTCCTGGTTCTCATATCAGTCACTCTCAACACAAACAATTTTTCGGCCCCTCATGTATCCAGCACATATTTAGAGCTAGGTGGATAGTAAATAAATTCCAAGCCAAAAGTCATGCTTTTATTCAAGAAAGAGGCTGCGGCAGATTTTAGCCATGTTGCTCAGTGTACCTTGCAGAGATGCTTTCAACATGCAGAGGTGAGTGTGCAGTACAGAAGAGGGCAGAAAGAGCTTACAGAACTTGAGACTTTTCAGTTACTCTGTGTCCAGGTAACACCATTTCTGCCTTTTACCTTTCCATTTGTTTTCTACCTGGTTATATCTTCTCCAGATGATAGTAATGACCAACAACCTTTTGGGACTGAGGCATAATACGCGAAAATGAGGATGGAGATGGAAGATGGAGATGGTCTGTTTGGAACAGGCTGCCCAGAGAGGTTGTGGAGTCTCCTTCTCTGGAGATCTTCAAAACCTGCCTGGATGTGACCCTGTGCCACGTGCTGTAGGTGACCCTGCTTGAGCAGGTGGTGGGACTAGATGATCTCTAGGGGTTCCTTCCAACCTTAACCATTCTGTGATTCTGTGATGAATCAGTGGCTTGGTCATGCACTGCAGATATTCACAACAGCAGTCAAGCCACTGAACCAGTGGCTTAGCAATAACATGCACTGTTACAGAAGTGTCTCCAAAGCAACCATATTAGCATCAGGTGGACAAAGAAGGGAATTTACTGATCATCTAGAGCGTTGCACCTGGGATCAGCCACATACCCTCTCACCCCCTCCATGAAGCCATTTAACCTTGGCCATAGATAAGCACACATGTACACAAGCATCTCATGATGTGGAGGCTCTCAACCTCAAGCTGTTTTTAATTCCTCTGAGAAAACATATATCATCGTCAGCAAGAGGAAGGGAGGGATAGCCTGGTGCAGCCTGAGGCTCCCTTAAGGTCACATTTTTGTCCTTATTGTTTAACCTTAACCCTTAGTTAATTCAGCAAACAATAATTAAGTCTGTACGTGCTTGAGTATTTGCTGGCTATGTACCTTATTTAGATCATCCAAGTCTTTAAGGAGGTTGAGTAAGGAGAAGCATGAATTAACGAAAACTACTGCTAAAGAAAGTGTCCATGGAAGAGAAGGGTTTAAGTGAAAATGCTGTGGTCACTCCGTAGTAGGTGACAAGAAGGCTCACTGGAGAGGAAGGAACATCTCCTCCACACCCCTGAATTAGCACATGGGAGGTATCTGGATGGGACAACTAAAAATTAAAGTGAGTGGGAAGAAGGAGCAGTAGTGGGTGGGGGAAGACATAAAGTGCAGGTGTTGGATGCTGTGCCGCTGGGTTTTTAGTGCAGTTCTCTTCAGTTCTCCTGGTTTGCACCTGAGACATCTGCCAGGCTGCCATTCTTGCTAGAAAGGTCTATAGGGTTGCAGAGTTGATGCTGGAACAAGGCTCCAAATATGTGCTGTGGCACAAAAGGGGGTTGTGCCTAGTGTGCTAGTTATGAGCATGTCAGGAGATGGGGAAATCAGTAAGTCTGATGCCACAATGTAAAATTTTTCTGTTATGACCAGGAATAATGTTGCCATGTTGTCTCCTGTATTTCATGTCCGTTTCTGCTCCAGGACTTGCACAGGCAGGAGCCAGGAGGGCTAGGAGAGGAAGGGAACATAAGAACAGAATAGCGATAGTGGTAGTGGTAAGTAACTGTGATTGGATGGAGTCGATAGGAGAGAGGGACCATCTACATATCCTCCTTTCCAAAAGGATTTGCTTCTCCTCCCAAGACAGTGGAGTTGGGTTTTGTAGCCTAGTGGTTTACCAGGTTGCCCCAGATCTTGTCTGGGAATCAAGACAAGTCAGGTCCACAGAAGTGTTTTTATGTCTAAACCTGTTGGCAGGATAAATATTATATATTCTGTTTACCCCCCAGCTTAATGGGGATAATAAGATCTTCTTCCAGCAGCCACAGTTTTGGAGTTGTGGATGGCCTGGCCCATCCATCAGGTGTCCAAGGGATCTAGCTAGTGTGGCTTCAGTACCTTGGTGCAGTCTAGTATGCCATTTCTGCATACTGGAAAGTTCTTTCGACTGATGTTTTTTTAGATGAAGGCTCTGAAATATGAGTCCATCTTCTTGAAATATTATTACTTTGATATCGCTGGCTTTAGTATGTAGGTATCTGTTAAGAATTTTTTATTTCTTCCTTTTCTTGGGTTGTGGTGCATCTTACTACTTTTGTGTGCAGAGAAAGTTCATGGTAATCCCTTCAGCTAGAACTTAATGCTGTCTATAGAAGAGTTCAGAGTGGTCGCCTGCCTTGGGCATGCATGAGTAGAAAGTGATCTTTTTGTCTCCAGGTCTGCTGGAACACCTGAAATGAGTTTAAATGTAGTTTTTTGATGTTTTGGGGTTTTTTTTTTTTGATTCTGTGTACCTCATGAAAAAGACAACACAGGCGGCAGCAGCAAGCACCCTATTAAGGCAGAACAAGTAAGTTCAAAGGAAGACATACACCTGAGAGCCAGTTCCATTTACAATAGATTTATTGTTTTGATTTGTTGTAGTTTGAGCAGTAGAATAAGGTTTTCTAGTACTACCCATGGTTTTGTGATACATTTTTTCCAAGTTAAATTTCTACCTTTATGCAAACCCTGCAGCAACAAGCATGGAAGAAAAGGCTACCTCAACTGTCAGTCCAGATGGTAATGTCATTGCTTGATAGTCGACATTTCCACAGCTGTAAAATTGATGAAAAGGTTACAACTGGCAATTTATCAGTTGGGCTAACATAAATGTTATAAAGTTTGAACTGTGCGTGTTGAAACGTTCCTGTTATTGACAGGTGAAGCAGAGGTGTTAAGTGATAACTGTGCCAGTGAGTATCATCGGGGTTTGCTGAATATCCTTCTTGATTCTGGTACCAGAATAATTGGTCAGCTGAGGTTTTCTTGCTATGCTCCTGGTGACTGTAGAGACCCAGATGCTCAAGAAGTGGTTTGAAGTAGATGCACCACTACCACTATCCAGCTGTGTAGTTTAAGCATCCCCTGAAGGCTTGGAACCCTTGTTCCTTTGCTGCATTGTTCTTTAGGTGGAGGTACTTCGATACAAGTGAGTGGGAAAATTTCCCCAGGTTTCTCTAAATGTGCTTAGGGTAGAGGCATCTGTATTTCCTTTGGTAATTGAAAATCATCATTTGAAGTTCTTGAGGGCAAGAAGTTTTCTATCTGTGTACTGTGAGATGGAGAAAGGAAAGCAGAGTTTCAGTGGTTGGTGAGGCAAGGGAGTAATGATGCGGTGCTGTAGAGAAAGCTGATATGCTTGGTGTCAGGAAGCAGAGAGGGCTGGCTGCTCTTTCAGGGAGAGAAAATCAAGAAAAATGATACAGCCAGCAGGTCACAGACCTCACAAGCCCCACAGTACCTGAACATGGCAAATAGGGTAGGCCCCAAAATGATGGCGAGGTTCAGTCAAGAATTGAGATAATCAAACAAGCTTGCAGAGATAAAGCATGTCTGAGGTCAAGATGGGAAGTCAATCCACAGGTCCAGATCAGGTTCAGTGACAGTAAAAAACATGAGACACAATCCAGTGAACCCCAGGCATGATCATAGCAACAAGGCAGGGTCCAGATGAGAAGATGATCTGCGAGTCAGGGTCCAGTTCACTATGGACTGTGATCAGGTACAGATGTGGCTTCAGATGAACTGGAGACCAGTACAGGCAGGGAGGGAAGGTCCAGGCTTGAGCCTAATGGAGCTGTGGGGCCTCTGTGGAGTGAGCGTGGGTAGAGGCCCCAGGTGAGTCTGATTAGGCATATTAAGGTCAATGAGGGCACTTAGTGACTTAAACTCAGTGCCCTCTCTTTTACCTGTACTCTTCATCACTGAAGGCTTTCTGGATTTATTAGTTTAATAGGGGCTTCTGTCTGTGTTGTGATAGAGAGTTTCTTTGTGCTTAGTGGTCGTGTTCAGATGTGTTCTGTTAATCTGAGAGAGGAAGCAGAGGTGGGAGGTAGCCTTGCAGTCTACACAGATGTAGTTTGGATAGCTAACAATCTTCCAGAGGTAAGCTTAAGGGGTGTGGATGTTGAATTTGACCAGACACTGGTCATTCCAGGTTTGTATCCCTGGACAATGCTGTTTTCCAAGAAGCATGCTATGCACATGACTCCAGGAGGGCACAGTTTTCTTTCCTGAGAGTAGCATATCCAAGTTAGTACTTGGAGCAGTGCCATTTATATTGCTTATATTGCCATTTATATGGGTGTTAGGAAAGGGTTAAGTAACGTACTAGGTTTTTATAGGGAACAGATGAGCAATTTGAGGCTTCTTTCAACAGGTTACGAATTACAAATTCAAGCAAATGACCTACGCTGAGATAACTGAGTGTTTTACCCATGAGCGTAGTAGGAGAGCTGTTTGTTTACATCTGAGTGTGAAGAAATACAAGCAAGGAGGAGCTTTTCACCTGTATGATGTTACTCACTCCTTTGTGTATTCATGCCAGTGAAGTAGTTACCACACACTGATGTATTGATCTGTCCGAGGATCCTAGTGAATTTTGTCACAGGCAGCATAGGTTTCTGGTATAAGCCAACATACCTTTTTTTTTTTCCTGTGGTTAACAGCCACCCAAAGGATTAGAACTGGTGCCAACAATCCAGCACCAGAGGCAGGTGAGTTACTACTTTAAGCAGAGAACAACTGTTGAGAATAGTTTCACACCCAAACGTCACCAAAGAGAGTAAATAGAAATTTCATGGAAATAAAAATTATAAGGTGAAAGGCTTGGATTTGAGATGATCGGTTACATACTAAATGGAAAAGGTATTTTGCAGTGTCTGCATAAATGTGTGTCCCCTGCATGAAAGGCCTGACTGAACATGGTAGAGTGTTTTATTCTCAGAGCTGCAAACACTTGAATGGAGCAGAGGCATCAAGAATCATCTTCTTCCTAAGGAAGCTCCACTGTAGTTGACAAGTATGTAAAACCAGCAGGCTAGGAAGAATCAAGCTCATTATTTGGGCAGGGCTAGGAAGAGGGGAGTGAGCAAAAGATGATTAAAGTGGCTGGCCTATTTAATAAGAGACTGAAGCTAATTACACTGAGAGCTCTCATTAAAGGCGTGGTATTTGATTCCTATTCCCTGTAGGTGTCTGAGGTGTTCTTGCAGAGGAATTGGGATATATCCCAAGTCAGACATAGATGAAGCTCTCTTCTTGCAGCTTGGGTGACAAACCAGTTATTACTCTTAGTTGTTTACTTCAAATTTTAGTCCTTGTTCTTTATTTTCTTCCCCCCTCCCCCCTGCTTTTTACCATTTGTGACTTTTTTCTGCTCTCACTGTTTGGTTACTTTCCTTTTAGGCAACCGGAGGTGGTTGTTGCAAAAATGACAAAGGAAAATGCTTCTGTCTGTTGTAACTTGTTCTGTCAGTCTCCTGTAAGCTGCTGATCTCAACTTTACCTCACTGGGTTGGGCTTCTGAAGGCAAATCTTTCGTATTGCCAAGTGGAAGTACTTAAAGCAAATGCAGCTTAAGAAAGTTTGATACGTATGTTTTAAGTTAAATATTAGCCAGATTTAAACAAGCTCAAGTGCATTTCAGAGTAAGACTCACTTGTTGTGCTGATAAGAAGGAACTCAAGCATCGAAGAATAGGCATGGGGATACTCTATTCGGAGGTATGTGACCATTTTCTGCATAGTAGCTGAAGCTATGGATAATACAGAAATACATTTGCCTTAGTTTATTCCCTTTCCAGCCTCCCAAATGCAGGCTTGTAAGTTAGAAAATGTGTTGTTAGAAAATGTGTTTTTTTTCTAAGAATGTAGTATTTCTACTGTTACAAATTGATGAAAATACTCTTTGTAGCAGTTTTATTTTCTTGAGGACAATAACTGGTGTAACTATTGTGACTTCATAGAAAAAGATATGTGTTAGATAAACATTTTCAGGGTGGTGCACATACGATTAGGAACTACAGATGACCTCCTTGGATAGTGAAGCTAGTGCCTAAGGCAACAAGGACCCCTGCTCTGCTCGTCTCAGGAACTTAATTTTTCTAACTCTTGTCTTTATGAGTTTGTTCCTAGACCTTAATCTATTTAGTAGACCTTTCCATTTTAGTATAAATGTTACTTAAGAAATAGTCATTATTTTATAAACTTTCCAATGGTACAGTTAATAATAAGTGACGATTCTAGACCTTCCGGGTTGTGAATCTAGGAGATATCACTAGTTTATCTGAAGGATAGCATCGCGTAGCTGGTGCTTCGAAAAGTTTCTATACCGAAAGCTACCCTTCTATTTTTAAAAGAGTATTCAATGAAACTAAGTACCTTATCCTTTTCCAGTATTAAAGGGAACTCACATATCTGTAAGCCGATGGACTGGTTAGACTGCATTTCATTCTGAAAAGAATTGTTTCTTTTCCTGGATCTACTCTTCTGAGTTGTTATTTTATACTCAAGTAGTGTCATTTAGTTTAATTAAAGTGGTTTTTAATTAGAGAAGTTTTAAATGCTGTCTATAGCTCGGATGCTTATTAGCTAATAGTCTAGTCTCATATTCATTAGTTTTCTGCCTGTAAAGTTTTTGAATGAGGTGTTATTTTCTCTACTACTAGATGACAGTGATGCGTTCCATCTGCTGAACGTTATGCAGCTTACTGATGCCTTTCTCAACTTTCCCAGCATGATTTAGTCTTCTGTGTCTAGTCTTTAAAACACCTTCGAAAGAATCTTAGTGCACTGGAACAGACTGGAGTAGTTCAGAATATCTGGGCTTTATGAAATTATTCTGTTTGCCTAAGCCAGTGCAAAGCTCTTCATTATTCCCTTGTATTTCTCAAAGGAAGAGGTCTCCGAGATGGCTGTCACATCTCTAAGACCAGCTTTAACTCAGCCTCTCTTCTGGTGACTATATGCTTTGTCTTTAGTGTCATACCTTGAACTTTTGTCAGAAGTAGGGTAGAACTTAATAAATGTCTGGTCCTTGAACACTACCACAAACAAGCCAAGCAGAAGGATATGCAAGAAAGTCTGAAAACAGAAATTCAGATACGGCAATTTATTTGGATCCAAGGAAACTACTAGATCTTGTTTTGAATCACACTGCCCATAGCTCCTAAAGAGAATCAGTTGTGTAGAAGTGTTGTCATTGCTTTTCTTCCACTTGTGTTTTTTCCTGTGTTTTTCCACTTGTATCACTTCACCTAGTGATTTATGTACTGAGTGACTTTAGCCATGAAAATACTTGCCGGTGCTACAAATCCTTCTCACCTTTATTGAAGGTACTACACAATCAAATCCTCTCCTGGAGGAATTGTAGAAGAGTTTCTAGAAAGGGAAATCCTAAACCACAGAGCTTATACTTTAAAATTCAATATGCAATCTTTCTTTGATGACCTGATTTGGTTGAGAAACACTCAGTCAACAGCGTATCTAATTCTCAAACCCTAATTTTGTGCTGCCCCTATAGGCTCTTAAATGGCCTTGTGTTCATGGCTAGTTTTTCCTGTAGTGGGATGGGGGCTTCTCTAGAAGAGTGAGAAGTGGATATGTATGTGAGCCCTGGGGCAGCTGCTTCTGAGCTGAGCCAAGAGAGCTCATCCTAGACAGGTGTGCACAGAACTGTGTTTGAGAGGTGCTCCTAGATCCCCCTTTCATCTACTAGAAGCAGTCTCCAGGGTCTGCCCTTTGCTTGCTCCATTCTGATGGAGCAGGCTGGCCTGAGAACCTTGATTAGATCATGGATACTGCTGTGTCTGTGGCAGGGCAAAGGTGCTGCTGGTGAGGACGGAAGGAGTTTGGGGTGTGATCTTTTGTTTTCCCTCCCTCCCTTTGTATGTTTTGTGCAGTGTTCATAGCGTGCAGCTTGTCCAACTGCAGAAGTGGAGAGCTCTACTGCTAGGCAGTTCAAGGAGGCACATGCCTGAGCCAGAATTCTTACTTGAGCTTCCCATCCCTTCAGACTAAAGCTCCTGTTTGTATTGCAGGTAATATTTTATGCACCTATGCAACATCTCCCCAGCTGCGCAGTGAAGAAGGGCTACGTCTTTTCCGAGTTCTTTGGAACAGTCAGGTCACTGGGAGGTCAAGAATAAAGTGGTATAGGTAAAAGCAGCCACTTTCCAGTGTGTTTCTGGGCCTGCTGGCATCTGCAGGGGTTGTGATCACTGTTGCCAGCATCAGGGGCTCTCTGTAAAAGCAGAGCTGTGCACATTCTCCAAAGCTGCCAGGCAGTGGTAACAGCCATGTGAGATGCCTGCACTTGCCACCCTCACGGCTCCACAGTTCTGAGCTGTGGGGTTTGGATTCTTCTGCTCCTGCATTCCTGTGCCTATGGAGCCTAAGTAGCATGAGTATATATGAGCTACGTTTATTTCCCTGTACTGTATGATGGATAGCTAATGAAATAATACAAATTAGAGGCTGGTTGGTAAGACCCACCACTATTGAGGTAGCCCTCTAACATTGTAGAAAATTGAGTGAGGGCTTTCACATTTTATTAGGCTCCATGCTTTTCTGTAGGCTTGTAAGAAATGTGTTTTCCAGGCTTTTGTTCGGAATCCCTTGTGTCTAGAAAACAGTGCCCAAACTCTAGGTGGAGGCAGCAGAGTTGGCCTGAGAGCTGGTATTCCAGACAGCACTGGCACCGCTCTGTGACTGTGTGTGTGTAAACTGCTGCTTACTTCCTGAGAATGCGTTTAAAGCAGGAAGTCTTAAGCACTGTTAGTTTAAATAGATCTGCCAAAGTGGCAGCTCCAGAAAGTAGAAGGTGTAAGAGCAGCTTCTGGCAGAAGTTTTGAAAATTTGGAAAGGCTTCTGTGATTACAACTTTCAACACAAAAGCTGTCAAATTTGTGTCTCTTCTGCTGCTATTGGAGGCCTATTTTGGAACTTTATTCTGTACCTGAATAGAAATCTCTTTATAATTTTCATGTTAAATTTATTCTTGGCCAGATGCATCAACAATTTTACAGGTGTCTGTCACATCTTTGTAATTTTTAATATTTTTAATTATTCTTTCCTAGGATATTTTCTTAGAAATCCTGGATGTTACTGAGATCAGACTAACATATTTATAGTATTTGGATTATTTTGCTCCCTTTCTTAACAACACAGCTGTTATTTGCTCCTCCAGTCATGATGTTCTGTTCATCAGTGTGGCAGACATATCAAAGTTGTTTTTCTAGAATGCAAACTAGCAGAGTGCGAGGCTCAACATTATCCAGTAAAACTGTGAGAAAAGGGAAGGGATTTTTTTTTGTTTCTGAGTTTTTATTTTTTTTGAGATGAATGAATCTTAATGTGTGAAAGAATCAATTTTATAAAGAATCTCACTGCACTAGAATAATAAAAATAAATAAAAAGGTAAAGGATCCTCCCAAGAGAGGAGTGCTGAAAAGGGGGACCTGTAATCTGCAAGAAAGGTAATTCTTGTTGGAAGAGGAAGCCTCCTGTCACGGGGAGTTGAAAGAGTCCCTGATGCAGAAGATTCTTTTATCTTGTCTGTTTTTAAAAAGGAAAATGCTTTTTGGGGTACTGGTGGCAGGCTAAAGAACATTGTCTTACAGTCTAGATTTGGAGATCATATAACTAGATCTCAAGTTCTACAAGAGTACATTAGTAAGAAGTCAAGTGGCTGTTAAGAAGAGGTTCTGATTTGGAGGAGACTGATAATTCCAGTTTGCCTCCTGAGTAAGTGGCCTTTGTCGGGGAAGCTGCCAAAGTCTCTGCTAATTTGAGTAAGGAGCAGAGTAGACACTGAAGTATGTGTGTTGTGTTTGAGTGTTTACTGGCATAAAAGTGCCAGGGAAAATATTTCAGGAACATGTGAAACGTGTAGACAAGAAATCTTAGAAACCTGCAAGCACTTCAGAGACTCTGTGTGCGTGTGTGTAAAAACCAAAATGTGTGCTTTTCAGGACTGGGGAAACAATGGTGCTTAAATAGTTTTATTTTTCAAAAAAAAAAAAAAAAAAAAAAAAAAAAAAAAAAAAGGAGGATGGAGGGGAGATACTGGGGGAGGGGGAGTGTGAAAAGGTATGCAACTACAGATTTACTGCCCTATTCCTGAAGCAAAAAAGGCATGTTAACTCCTTAAGTCACTGGGTCTACTCAAAGGTTGCATTTGGCTTTGTGTGTCTCTGAGTCATTGGGCTAATGCAGTATCACTGAAATTGAGAATGACCTGCACTGCTCTACTGCTTGGCTATGGAAGGTAAAATTTCCCTTACCCCTTTCATCTAAAAATCCAATCTCTTTCAGTTGGTAGTGAAAGAATTTTTCTGCAGATTTTTGCCTGAAAGCGGGAAGTGATGCAAGGTCTGTAAATAAGCATGCAAATAATTTTGTAAACAAAATAAATATCTAAATAAGCACTTTCTAGAAAGGAAAATAATTTTTTTTTTCTCATGCAGTTGTCCAGAAGGTTAGTAGCAACTAATGATGTTGTAGGGAAATCTCATTAAAAAACTAACAGGAGGTGAAAGGAAAGGGCTCGGAGTTCAAGCCAGTATCTTTTTCACTTAGCATGTTGAAGATCTGATAAAGGGAGGAGGAGAAGGGGAAAAATGCAGCTATTATTTAAAGAATATGTTTATTTTGGAAAATGGTGAAGAAAAAGCATAGTAGTAAAGATGGAGGAAAAGGCAACAAACGCTTTCTCTTTCTGACTGGAAAACTTGAAACGCCGCCGTCTCCGCGACTCCATCCGCTCTTGTTTCGTGCAGCCGTTAGGCAGCTGGAAACCGAGGGTGCCCTTGTGCTCCGCCTGCTTACCCTGAGCCCCGGGCTCCTGCTGCCGGAGGCGAAAGGAATTACAGGCGAGAGCAGGGATGCCTGGAAACGCGGAGCATATTCTTGAGCAGTGACTGGTACCAAAAGCCAGGCGGGATCGGAGCTGTGAGCATAAATACGAACACCTTTTTAGGTAAGGTGCTTAGCTTCTGGACTCAAAATTGTAATTTGCTGAATTATCCTTGTAAGAAATGGTGCCTATTAGGCATAAGTGTTCTCACCTCTTTGGAAAATAAATACTGGATTTTTTGTTTGTTTTTAACCTTATAGTTCAATGTTTACCTAAGGTATAATTTTAATTGGAGAACTGATGAGATGGAAATGGTAGTTCTTGTTCACCAGCTAGGAAGCTTGCTGCAAACGCAGGAAAGTGTGGCCTTGTGTGTCTTTGAGTAGTCAGGACCTCAGTTCTTAGTGCCTACTGCTTAATATAGTGACCAACTCCTATGAGATCAGCAGCTGATTTTCTTACTTTTTTTTTTTTGGTAGCTGAATATGACAGGATTTACTTCTTGGATTACAGAAACCTTGACCAAAACAGTTAAAAAGTTCATTTTTGCTGCATTAAAGTTGTGTCAGACTTCTGCAGTCTGTACTGAGAGGTGCTGTGTTCCAGCTGCAGGAGCATCTCTTACCACCCTCTTCTGGGAGCTGCTTAGAATTGCAGCCTCGAACAGAAGTGCTTGGCAGTTTCTTGGGGTGTTTAACTAAGAAATCTATACCCTCTGTTCAGACTTACTAGTGTGATGTTTTAATGTAATATTTTCTTTCTTCTTCAGCCCATTTGCCACGCGGCTTATAATAATGATTTCAATGAAGTTCAGCACCTTCTGGAGAAAAACAGCAACTATCTGAATGTCCAGGACAGATTTAGTGGAGATACACCCTTGATTTGTGCATGCAAACGGGGCAACAGCAGAATAGTTAGCTATCTTCTACAAAGAAATGCTGATGTCAACCTCAGGAACAAGGTAAGTGAGCACAGATTTATTCTTTGCAGTGACTGTGAGATTTCTGGAGTGTCAGTAAGGGAACCTTGGCAGCACTGGCAAGCCGGATTTTTGCCTCCAACTGGTGCCTGCGTCCAATCTCCAAATCATACCCCAGTAAACCTGTATGTTTTAATTTTTCTCCTCATTTATTTTTTGAACTTGACAATGAACAAAAAGTAATAATCTGACCTGATTTCAGTGACCTGAATTTCTCCCTGTACTCATGTTCCCTTTTTAGGTAATACTGTATGTCAGGCAGGCTCTTGCTTTTCTGCGGCCCTGTGGGCTCTGCCCCCTCACTTAGGGGACTGCACAGGAAGGTTTCTGTGTCTTGGTCCACAGTGTGGCACAGTAACCTGGTTTCATGAAGTCCAGCGAGTAGTAGCTGCAGGAGATTTAACAGGAGATGCCCCAATCTCCTTTAAATCTTTGTTTTGGTAGCTGGTACTCCTGTAACAGGAGGAACTGTGGTACTCTTCCTGCTGATTTAACTTGCTGGGCAGGAAGGAAATATGAAATTTCTGCTGCTCTGATGGCTTTCTGTCTGCCAGCCAAGTCAAATCTGGAGACATACAGTTGGAATCCTTTGGATTCCACATACTTCTTTCATGTGGAAATCAGTTACCATGAGTATGTGTATGTTAAACATGTTCCTATTTGAGGGAGTAAAAGTTTAGTATCTGAGGAAAGAAAAGGAAAGTTTTATGTATCTGTTACTATTGCAGACCAGAGAATGTTTTTAGCAGATAACTTGAAAGAAAACTTATGAAATACAATAGAATCTAGTATTGTCAATACTAATTAAATATAATCAGTTCAGTGAATCTGACACTGATCAAAGAGTTCTTCTGTATTTAGAAGGAACGCACTTGCCTGCATTATGCTGTGAGAAAACGGTTTAGTTTCCTTGACTATGTGCTCATCATCATCCTCATGCCGGTTATGCTTATTGGATATCTTCTTATGGTGAGTCTGAATGAAATCAGAACCTCCCTTACCCCATACCTTTCCCTTTTCCCTTATCACCTGTCCTGCAATATTTCAGGGCAAGAATCCATAGAATAGATGGATCCTTCTTTTTTAAAACAAAGACTGATGCAGAACAGCAGAAGCAGCAGAGATTTTGCTCTGAAAGAAACTAGTGGAGTGTTAAAATTGGCTGATGGAGAAGCCAGACACTTCCTTTTAGGGGGGAAAAATACTTTGTACTAGATAAAAATTCACTGTCTCACTATGTTATTCTCTTTCTTCTTGAACCAAACAGATCTCGAAAACTAAACAGAATGAAAACTTGATTAAGATGTTGCTGAGGGCTGGTGTCAATGTTAATGCTGCAGACTTCGTAAGTAGATTTGTACAAATGCACATGTAACTGCTAAGAGTGCAACAATCCTAAATAACTGCTAGTAATATATTCCTGCTTTCAGGATAGTATCAGACAATGAACTGGTTTGATGTAGCAGACTGTCCAGCAGGAGGATTCAGTGTATTCCTCTGACACTTTATAGTTTTGTAATGCACACAGTAGTAATTCTACCCTGATAGCTCAGGGCTGTTTTTATTCTAGCGTAGCTTTTTTTTTTTTTTTTTTTGCCCTGGAGCCTGGACAACAGTTCCAAACCCAGCAAGTGAAAACCTGCATGACACTGCTGGGGGTGCACTTTTACATTAGAATGCAATTTTAATGTTAACTTTTTCATTGCTGTAATGGCCTTTTCAACCTGTGAGATCCTCCTTCAGAGGAAGGAAGCAAGATGGATAGTATGTTGAAATGACTTCTAGCTCTGTGCTTGTATCTGAGGTGAGACATTTGTGACACAATGAATTTGGGGGGAATGTTCCCAGGTGACCTCATCTGGAGAGATGTGATTCTCTGGGGCTACATTAAACATTGGCTCTGTTGGTTTCTTTCTGACCAGTATCGTCTTAAAAAGAATCCAGGCCAGCTCAATTGAAACACATTTTTAAAAACTGATTCTGTAAAAATTTTATTCCCTGCAAATGTGAGTTTATCACTCTTATGAATTCTTGGACTAAAGTAGGTCTGTGGAAAAAGGTCGTGCTCAGTGTTACTCTGTGTTTTCACTTTGTCTTCAAAGGGCACTGGTCTGCCACATATGGTGTCTGTATCCCCTAGCATACTTGAATGTGGTAGAGAACTTCCCTAAGGCAGGAAGAAAGAAACCAATTCTAGCATCAGTCGAATTCTAAATCACTTAAGTGTGAGCAAACAATATTGTGTAATATTTAATTGTTGAGATAACAATTGTGGAATCCTCTGAAATTACTAAAGACCTATGAGCTTACTGCTAAAGGCACCAGGCCTGTTTTAGCAGCTGCGTCCTGGAGAAGGAATGATTCTTTGTTCTGTTTCTTTTCAGTCTGGTAGCACAGCCCTTCACTATGCTTGTGAAATGAAAAACCTGGCAGTTGTTTCTCTACTGCTTGAAGCTCATGCAGACCCTTCTGTTAAGAATCAGGTAAGAAGGTGAAGGTGATAGCTCTATTTCCCCTGTGAAGATAGCAAACCAATATGTTAAAGGCCTTATTTTGGTGTGCCACATTTTTTGAAAAACAAATAAAAACTCACAAGCGTCCCCTGCTCTGTGGCAGCAGGCTTATTTGTTGTAAAGTGAGAGCCCCACTGCCCACCTTGGCAGCAACATCTTTGAAATCTGAGTCCTTCACTACTGGTCTTCCATTGGTAAAGGCTGCCTTGATGCCCACTGCATTGGCAGATCTCTGCTGTTGGACAGTGTCTCTTAATTCAGAGGTGCTCCCTCTACAGCTTTTCTTGAGAGACTGGCAACAGGGGGATAGTACTAAGTACTAGTCCTCTCAAATGTGCCAAGTCAAGCTGCTTCTGTCATTGGCGACGCTTATCTGTTAAATGCTGTCAAAAGGAACGTTCACCTGGGAGTGTCTGTACTGCTCAGTTGAGATGAGTCATGTTTTTCCACATGACTCTTGACTTTGCACTGTCTTTGGATGTTAACCGCAGGAAACGGTGGAATGGCTGTCACTGCTATTGCTACTGGAACAAAAACTGCCTGCTGACTTCAGTGAGAGTGATATTAGACCTAGCACATTCTGAAACCTTTGTTTCAGAGCTACAGCATGGCAATGAAAATCATGCAGGAAAGTCTTGCATTTCAGTGGCAAGTTCAGGGAAGTTTTTTTTACTTGATCCATATCTGTCACATTGCAATATATTCCATCTGTTTCTTTCAGGAGGGGGAGACTCCTTTGGATATAGCCAGAAGATTACAGTTCAGCAACATTGAAAGCATGCTGAAGAAAACTTCTTAGTGCTTGATGATATTCTATAAAGGGCTCTGGAACATGAAAAAACATTTTCCAGTCTGGCAAGCTGTCTTGCACAGCAGCAGCAGGAGTCCTGTTATAGGCTGATGTATTTGTCAGAGGCCTTGTCCAAACCCATCTGCTCTTTGCTGAAGACTTTAACTGCTTTGTGTGTTGGAGAGCTGTCAGGATTCCAAGGCCATTTGGCTGTAAGGTGATCATTTGCTTTTACTAAGCCTTGAATGTTTACAATAATATTCAAGATATTGCCCCTCCCATCTCCTCACTCAGTTTTATTGCTGGACTTGCACAGGCTATGCATTTTGAAAGCTAGCTGTACTGTTCCTGGAAATCTAGCAATTGCACATCATGATTGGCAGCCAATACAAAAATAAAATTTTATTCAGAGTGAGTGTTTTAGTTTTTCTGTAGGAGATGTGCTTGACAGCTGAACACCGTGCCACAACATTTTATGGAGGGTCTTGTACCTTTTCTCTGTACTATTTTTCCTCCTACAGTGGGAGTGATGGGAGAGTAGTTCTGTCAGTGGCAGTTATGGCTCCTTAGCACGTCCTACTTCTGCTACAAGTTTCACACATCTCAATTATTCCTCACTATGTTGTTGCCAGGGAAGGATATTTTTTTTTTTTAATAGAAGAAACAGCAAGAAGAGATTGAATTAATGTTTGGTGATCACAAAAAAAAGCCAGTTCCCAGGTCCCTTTAGTGCATTAAGAAGTAATAATTAAAACATGTTTTTGGCTCAGAAGTCAGACCCTTGAAGAGCTTTCCAATGTAAATAATGTGCTAAAGGAGCTGGGGGCAGGGGTGGAAAGCAGTATATGAAATGCTATTGGTAGGAACCAGACACATCATCCCCAGGAGACTGGACAGCACAGAATGCTTTTCAGGGTAGTGAATACAGCAGGCAGTGCATGTGACAAAATAATAAAGCCTTTCAGGTGCCTTTAGTTGCATAAAGTAAAGGAAGAAGAATCCCTGCAGTGGTAGGAAGTGTATTAAAGTGGCCTGGTACTTTCTAATTTTAGTAATGTGTCAGTAAAGAGGATTTGGAAGGGGAATCCTTTCAAATGCTTTCAGATCTCCTTTCAACTTGCTTCCTTAGTCTACTGAATCTTTATTTTTGTTGACAGTTTTGGCCATTTTGACTTTTTTTGTCCAAGCTGTCATGGGTTCAAAGGCTAGATGTCATGATCAACACTGTAAAAGGCAGCTAGGCCAGGTGCGTGGACAAGGTGATAGGTTTCCTGTGCTGTGAAAGACAGATGCATTTTGTGAGTGTCACCATTGTTTTGGACACTGACTCCTACTGTAAGAAGTCTTGATTCCTCATCAAGGTCTTGAGGCCCTATCCATATCACTGCTTGCAACATTTACCTGTCTGGACTTGTAATAAGGAGTACTTTGGGTGTAACCTTGGGACAGGCACTCTTTTATTTACCTGATCACCTTGTGGGTGAGTAATGTGAGGTATTAATATAGGTAATGAAGCAACTCTCTCTTTGGGTTAGTGACTGACTACTTTCCCATACTGCAGAAATTCCTTGAAGAATAAGTAGTCAAGATGGACTTTGGCATTTACATAACCCTATATGTTGGACAGCTTGCAAAAATTTCACTGCCAGTGTCAAGGAAAATTTCTCAGGTGCTGTAGTGCTTGGAGTGCAGCTTGCCTGATGGATCTGCATTTCCTCATTCTCCAGCTTCCAAGTCATGAGCACAGACCATCTGTGGTTTTGTTATTTGGTGGTGCAGTGTGTAGAAAGACCTTTGGTAGATATTTGGGTGTAAAAAGCAGGAGAATATTTGAATGTATTCAACAAAAAAGGCTGACATTTCCAAGGTTGGATTCCTTGGCTTTGGAAGCTCCCTATTCTATGCTCAGATTCCTGTGACTGAAGGTCTCTTGGTTGTCTTGACAGTGTTGGTAAATATGAGAAGCAAAAATAGGCTGTACTCTCTGTCAAACTGATTTAATTTAAACCAAGGTCATCTGTACTTTAACAGAGAAATGAGAAAATTACATTTTTGTGTTTTTATGTGATAGTATATTTCTATGAGGTACATATGAGAAGAACATAGCTTAGGAGTAGGAAAAACAGTCTTGTTGAGGTAAAAGCTGTCCAAATTAAGTGATCTCTGAAGTGTGTGCTGAAATATTTTCATATTTTCAGCAGCCATTCCTATATTATCAAACTCCTTTGGAAGACACCATTTGCCTAAATACTCTATCACCATGGAAAACAAAAAACAACTAAAATGCAAGAAAATACACATCAATATATGTAATTCCCTATTCAAATATCCAGTGTGTGTGTGTATACCTATTCCCCAGAAATCACATTTATTGCTAAACAGAGATATTTGGCAGTGTTACTGGATGGATTGACTCTCTGCATATGGTTTCAAAGATATTTTGTTATTAGTTGAAGGATTTTCGAGTACATTTTCATAGTTGCATCAAGGCCCCAGATGAAATCAAGGTGTCCCCAGTCAGGAAAATTGTCGTAGTAAATGAGCTTTTTTATGCGAGGAAGTAGCCTTGCCATATCTTTTGGATCTGCAAACTTGTCGTCTCCACCACTCCAAACAGCAATTGGTATGTTGATCTTCTCTATCTCATATGCAGGAGGGGTGGACTGGAAGGAAGGAAGTAGACTTGAAGTGAATGTTGTCCTGTCAAAAATTGCTTTTGGAGAACAGATTCTGTGCAAACATCTCTGCTTCCCTCCCTCCCTACAGTGAAATAGTCAGGATCAAGCTGGCCCTCTCAGCGTTTATTTCTCTTTACTCTGTCTTTCGCCTATGGTGACCTGTCCAATTCCTCAGTGTCTTCCTAGTGCAGGGTTACATGTTGTCCTGCTGTGTGAGGCCTGCTCATGCCCTTCAGAAGTGGGGCTATGGAGAGAGCCGTATTGGTGTCTGTTGAGCAAGGACTTCAGAGCTGCTGCTTGGATGTGTCCCATTTCTACCTAGCCTGGGATGCACTTCAGGTTTTGCTCAGGGCATGGAATGAAACCGAAGACCTTAACCATTATACTTTATGTAGCAAGAAGCAAGAAATACTTTTGACCATTTATAATATGACATTAGATGGTTTCAGGGATCTTGAGTCTGTGTGGAACTTTTTGGAGTCTTATTTTTCCTGTGAAAAATTGCATGCCCTGATTCAGAAAAGGATGCTGCAAGTCAAAAGTGTTAAGTACAGTTGTCCAGCTGATTGGAGAGCTCATCATGGCTTAGGTAAGAGATCCATTTCTTTCCTTAACAGAAAGACAGACCTTCAGGATTTTTTGGGAAAGAGTTACTGCTCCATACTAATCCAGTCCCAGGCCTTGAGTGTGGGTCTTGCCTTCTGGGAACGGCAGATAAATTGAAATGTCATGGAACATGTGCCCACATCAGTAAGGAAGGCAAAATCAACCAAGATCAGCAACTTTATTTGTTGTCTACAAGGAACTCCTAATGCTTTGCCTACGAATTAGCTTTTTTTACTCATAAGTATTAGGTTCAAGTGAAAGATCATCTTGGACTAGTCTCTCCTTCTCTCAGTAGCGAGTGAGGTCACAGGTTCTAAAATCTAAAGTTTTCTATTCTTAGTTAGAATCCATTCTTATCCAGAACCCAAGGACAAATTCTCAAGAAAACCTTATCATCTTACCTGGTTGTATTTCTTTATGTTTTCCTTAGCACCATAGTCATAAGCTTGAAATTGGTCTGCACGTTTTAGCTGTTAATATTGAAATAAAAATAGACACAAGATGTTAGGAAGACTAAGAAACAGTTCAGGGACCACAGTGCCCAGATGCCTGACTGTGAGTGACTCCTATGTCTTTATCACTCTGGTTGGAGGTTTCCTCAAGTAATGAGTTTGGATCATTGGTTGAACGTCTTTATTGCCTGCCCCCTTGCTAAGCTGATCCTGAGGATCTCCTGATTCTCAGACACCACCTATGGCATGCTTTGTGATTAAACTGTTTACTTAGTAAACTTGGTATTGCCGTCTTGACCTGTGACTAGATTTGCATTTCCCTTTGGGAGGGTCAAGTTATCTAGAAGCTGTTGGGACCATTACTAGTCCATTGTATTATGTGATCTCTCCTCACACATCTAGTCTTTTGGTTGACAATTGTGTCTGGCCACTCACAGCAGTAGTGATAACATTTCCATAATTTTTACAGCAGCTTGACAGTAAATGTGTTATGCTTTAAGAGCAGTTTTGAGGTGGGACTTTAGATGCTTGATCTTTGAGTACGTGTTGTCTTCAAGACATGCAATCTTCCCTGCAAGACTGATGAATGAAAAGGTAAGTACATATGTTTGTTCTCTTGCTTTATTTTATTTACTCATTACTGAGACCTAATGAATAGCTTGATTGCTTTCTTCTCTCTCTCTGTTTCTCTCTCTCTCTCTCTCTCTCTCTCTCTCTCTCTCTCTCTCTCCAAGTAAGTGAGCAAGCACTAGAAATCTGATAGGGAAAATATTGTTATTATAGTGTTTTTCGTTTATTCTGCTGTCTCTACTACTGTCACTTCTTTTCTTCTGCCCTATTACATCTCTCTTTGCTTTGTAGCCTTGTAGCTTTGTTTTGATACCTTGTTAGGGGTCCGTGAAACAGACTGTAAAGCTACTGGTTGTCAATGCCTTGTACTCATTTCTTGGCTCTGAGTAGATGTATCCTGAGGGACTGACTGCTGGTAATTTTTGTCAGGCATGTCCCCAAGGGTACCTATATTTAATACCATATTAAGTGTTGGCAGAAATTGTAGGTTTGTGTATGTAATGTATGAAGTTATATCCTGGCTCTGCACCTGTAGTTACCTTGGACACAATATTCTGCTTAGACAATAACAACAAGCTTAGGACTGCTGGCATATGAGTAGAAATCTGGTACATGAGTAGAAACCTGCTTTTAGGGATCTCTAAGATCTAGATGCTACCATGGAAGGTAAAGAGGATTTTGAAAAAAATGGCTATTAGGAGCCTCCCAGTAGAACAGTGTTGCTCATTTTGCACTTGAGAGTGGCATAAGGCAGTTCCATCCTTACACCAGTAGAAGCATTTGTGTGTTTAACTGGTTCTAGGAGCTGATCCAAGCTGCAATTAGTCCTCTAGGGGAAAAGTTTTAACCTGGATCACTTCCCTGTTCTGGCTTATCCTCCGGCTTCCCAATATTCCGCTATCCTCCTAGTG